CCGCCAGCCGTCCCCACCTGGCCTCCTCCATCTCTTTCAGATGACTGTACTAGCTCCGGTCTCTTACATTTCTGTTTTTTTCTTCCTCCCTGTCTTCCATCCAGAATGATCTTTTAAAATCACAAACCTTATCATACCACTTCCATGCTAGGTACCTTGTCATAGTTTCCCAGTACAAAGATCCGACTGATAATTATTCCCCACAAGGCCCCCTGTGGAGTGCCCTCCCCTAGGCACTCACTAGGCCTGATTGAACTATGCAGGTCAGCTGCAGGAACTTACTTCCCCAAGTGTGTCTGCCAGTGTCACCTGCTGCTACACTCTGGAATGCTGCTCTCTTCTCCCAGCCTGTTAGCTATCTCCAACTCATCGTTCCACTCTCAGGCTTCACTTCCTCAGCCCTACCTCAGCTGCAGACTAGGTCAGCTCCCCAGTCAGAGCAGACCAAACCATCTTTTCCTGCATGGTACGTCTCATGCTGTTTTCATTTGTGTCCAGTTAACATTAATAAATAAATAAATAAAAATAAATAAACTTTTTTTTTAATTCTCGTTATTGGTCAAGGATAGTTTCTGGCACCTAAAATGATATTTTGTAGCCAGTGATATAGCTCAGTGAAGCAACACCTGCCTGGCAAGCAGGAGATCATTAGTTCAATTCCAGATGCTAAAAAAAAAAGTGATTTTATAAACTATAAATGATCTTATATTAAAGAGTGTGAATTTTTTTAATTTATTTGTAACTGAAGCTGAACTTTGGTGGATGATGTCCATGTTTATATGTTTACAAGTAATGAATGGCAGGAATGTCTCCTTAGGGCCCATGGTGAAGCAAATCTAGATACTCCTCAATTCCATGCAGATTGGCCATAGATATTGTGAGGATTAACATGCAGACAGACCCTGCCCACTTTCAACTCATAGCATTTCACTTTAGAGACCTACGATCTAGACGGGTGTGGTAGCACACACCTGTATTCCCAGCCTGAGGAGGCTGATGCAGTAAGATCCCCATGAGTTTGAGATCAGCCTGGGCTATATAGCAAGTTCAAGGCTAGTGTACATAGAGAGACCCTATCTTTTTCTTTTTCTTTTTCTTTTTTTTTTTTTTTTGGTGGAACCAGGGATTGAACTCAGGCCCTTACGCTTGCCAAGGAAGCACTTATTCCATTGAGCCATCCCCCTGGCCCCGAGAAACCCTATCTTAAATTTTAAAAAAATAATAAAATTAAAGACTTAAGGTCTGTCTCCAGTGGTATTTTCAGGCAGCTATGGCATTTCAGAAAGCCTTACATAGTCTGGGTACTGGAAGCAACACTTTTGATCTGGAAAGAAAAAAATTTGCCCTTATGCCTTTTATTGAGACAAGTCTCACTATGTAGTTGAGGATGGCCTTGAGCTCACTGTACAGTCCAGATTGCCCTAAAAATTGTGGCAATCCTCCTGCCTCAGCCTCCCAAATGCTGGAATTACAGGTGTGTACCACCACACCCAGCTTGATGCTTCCTAAATATTATTTTGTGATATGTCTATAGAAATAGCCCTGCTAGGGCCAGGGATACAGCTCAGCAGCATAAGCGCCTGCCTGGCAAGAGCAAGGTCCAGGGTTCAATCCCTGGTACCACAAAACAAAAAAGAAAAGAAATAGCCCTGCTAGCACCAAGTATGGTAGTGCAGCCCAGGCTCCCAGAATTCTCGAAATGGAGGCAGCCTGGGCTACATAGTAAGATCCTGTCTTTTTTTAAGGAGCAGCCCTGCTGAAATGGAGCAAGGTTCTTTGAGAGATTCCAAGCCCCATGAAGCCTGTGTCCCAGGCCTTTTGTTGAATAGGAGCTTATGGGATATTCACTCACCAGAAACTGTGTTCTGTGTCTGTTCTCTGTTAACAGGAGACCTGTAGGAAGTGTCAGGGACTCTGGAAAGAACATAATGGCCTTACCTGTGAAGAGTTGGCTGAAAAGGATGACATCAAGTACCGAACTTCTATGTGAGTAACGCAATACAGGGGCCTTGTCAACTGACTCTCAGGTCGAATCCCCAGTACTCTGCCTTTGGTTAAAGGGGCAGAACGAGCTCAGGTTCCCCTAGGCTAGATTGATCTCAGAGAAGAGCCCAAACAACCGAGCCCATTTGCTCACCTCCACATTCTGCAGGAGCTAGTTCCAAAGTCAGGTGGTACAGATGAAATGTTTGGCACAGTGACATTCGTTAAGTGTGTGCCCCTTTTCCTTATTATCTAAAGAAATAAGCAAAACACATCCTACACATACCGCAATTATGTTGCTTATGTCTCTGTTCTACCATTCAGGTAGCCTAAGACAGTAAGTAGATCTGCCAGCCCCCAAAATGCAAAGTGATGCCTCAGCAATAATGACCACGACATGTGCAGTGATCTCTGCATGGCTAAGGCTTTACAAGTGCTGATTAGAATAGAGTGACTTAAGTATCTATACCACAGGACCCTTTTTCTTTGTCATGCACCTAGCCCTGCCATGCTGTGCAGCTGATCTGTCCCATGGGGTCAGCCTGAGACCCTCCAAGTTCCTTTATTTCTTCACTGCTTCCCCTTTTGTGAAGAGTAGTATTCTCATCATTGTGCCTGGGTTCTGGCCACATTTATATCCAGGCACAGTGGCGCACTCCTATAATCCCAGCACTTGGGTAGCTGAGGTAAGAGGATCACAGTGAGTTCAAGGGCAGTCTAGGCTACATAGTGAGTTCAAGGCCAGCCTGCACTACAAAGTACGACCCTGTCTCAAAAAGAAAGAAAGAAAGAAAGGAGAAAGAGCCAAATGCAGTAGCACACACGTGTAGTCCAGCAGTGGGAAGGTTGAGGCAGGAGGGTTGCCATGAGTTTGAGTCCAATCTAGGATACATAGTGAGTTCCAGCCTAAACTATGTATCGACACCCTGTCTCAAGAAAAAAGGAACAGATAACTTACAAAGCAGGTAGCTTTTCTTTAAGTTACGAATGATGCAGAAATTATGTGTACCATTTCTCTTTATACCCACTGGTCTAGCCTGAGTCACATGGATACAGCATGCTCTGAAGCAGGGATCGTATATAGCCTCTGCACGAATTTTTGTCTGACTTACTACAAAAAGAAAGAAGAGATCGTTACTCAGAAAACAAAATGGGGATTGATGTTTGGGGCAGGTAAATGCTGTTCAGTACCCATTCTGATCAGAAGGCAGCTGAGGTAGAGCCCAGGTAAGTGTCCTGTGCTCACACAGGTAGTGAGGCATAGCAGAACTTGAAACCAGGCACATGACTTCTGGCTGTGCTGCCTATCACATCTTTGGTTGGCAAAACAATGCTTCCTCCCCCAATGTTGTCCTCCTTTCCTGAGTAAAGGGACTTTGCAGATGTATTTAAGGTTATGGGCATTGAGATGGGGAGATTATCAGGAGAGCCCAATCTGGTTATATGAGTCTTTAAAAGCAGAGAGTCTTTCCTAGCTGTGTCAGATAGAGCCACGAATATAGTGATGCTTCTGAAAAGCAGGAGAAGGACTCAACCTCCCATACTGGTAAGCTCCAGGACTCAGCAGCGGGGCTGCACATATTTCCCAGAGGGAACATAGTTGATTTTTCTTGCCGTACTGGGATTGAACCCAGGACCTTCACACTGAGATGTAGCCTCAGTTCCTCAGCCCTTTTTTACTTTGCGATAGGATCTCACTAAGTTGCCCAGGCTGTGTTTACACTTGAGGTCCTCCTGCCTCAGCCTTTTAGACTGGGAATGTAGACATGTGCGACATCTAGCTTATCATTGCTTTTGAGCAAGACTTCTGCTCCTGTCAATACTGGCCCAAATAGCATCTGAGTCACCCTCGACAGTTGGCACCGTGGCCCCTCTCAGTCTGGTCATCCTCTAGGTCAATAGGAAGTAGGTCAGAGTGGAAAATTCCAACGTGGTATATGTTGATTCCAGAATTCAGAAAGTCTCCTTGGGGCCGGGGATATGGCTCAGTGGAATAAGTGCTTCCCTAGCAAGCACAAGGGTCTGAGTTCAATCCCCGGTTCCGCAAAAAAAAAAAAGTCTCCTAAATGTGCTTCTTCCTTAGTAGAAGCAAATGCAAGACACACAGCCCTAGTTTAACTATGGGAATGATATCCTGCTGTACACCTCTGACCTCCAGGCCACTGGGACTTCATAGAGATTCCATATTCCTACCTTCCCCACGGGGTTGTTTCCTACTCTGTGTACCTGAATAGTGCATCCTAGAATGCCTTACCAGGTTCTATCTGCAGGTCGACCAGGTATAAACAATGTATTGCCCTGGTGAGTGGCAGATGATATAAGATCCTTTTCAGCTGCCAGTGTTCTCTACCAGTGGGAAGAGAATAAAAGAATTTCCCAGATCAGTAGCTGTGTACCAGTTGCCAAGAGCTATGTTTATCTACTCTGGTGAGAAGTGCCATCTGGAGCCTCAGCTGCAGTTAGTACCTCATTAGATTTGGGGTCATGCATTGTGCCCCAGGACCTTTAGTGCAGGCCAGACTTAAATGTGTGGAATCAGTACTCTGCATCTTTAAAGTCTTAGATGGTGACAACAATTTCAAGAGATGCCCATAGGACTATGGTACTGGTTGGAGTTGCTACTTGACTTTCCCCCATGATATACCTGTTTTTCTGTTGACCAGGCAATGAAGGAATCCTGCCAATTTCCAGGTATCAAAATTAAGAACCTATAATCCCAGCACACTGGAGACTGAGGCAGGAGGATGGTTACAAGATCAAGGCCAGCCTATGCTACCTAGTGAGTTCGAGGCCAACCTGAATTATAGACCAAGACCCAATCTCAAAAAAATAAACAGAGTATGGACAGGGAATTGCAAGTGTAGGAAATGTGGCTCACTCTTGTTGCCTTGAGTAACATATTAAGAAATTGCTGTAAGGCTGGAATGTAACTCAGTGTAGATCACATGCCTAGCATCCAGGGAGCCCTGGGTTTAATCCCTAGCCCTATAGGAAGGGAAGGAAGGAGAGAGGGAGGGAGAGAAGCCAACCTGTCTTCTGTGGTTTGTAGATGGTTGAGTGTATCCCTGTCCTGCAGAGGTTCTTGTGCTGGCATCTTGGTTCCCACTGTGGTGGGTTGACACAGTGGGACTTGGGGGTAGGGAGCCTGCTAGAAGGTGATTAGGTCACAGAGGCACTGTCTTTGAAAGAGCAAGACCAAGTTAGTCTTGCCAGAGCAGATTGTTACAAAAGAGTATGCCTCGGGAAGCATGGTGGTACAGATTTGTAATCCCAGATACTTCATAGGCTGAGACTGGAAGAATGCAAGTTTAACAGCCTGGGCAATTTAATGAGACCCTGTCTCAAAATATAAAGTACTAGGGCTATAGTTCAGTGGTAGAATGCCCCTGGGTTCCATCCCTAGTACCACAAAAAAAAAAAGAACGAGCCTCCCTTCCGCCTGCATTTTGTCTCACCATTCCATCTGTTCCGTGCATGCTCTGCCGTTATGTGTCTGCCACAAGACCCTCATCTAGCCAAGTGTACCAGCTTTCTTTTGCTGGGAAAAAATTACCTGACACCCATAAGTTAATGGCAGAGAGGTTGATTTTCGTTCATGGTCTCAAAGGTTTCAGTCCATGGTTAGCTGGTTCCAAGAAACGTCATCACAGGGCCGGCCAAATAGCTCAGTGGATTAAAGTGCCTGCAAGCAGGTGCAGGGGCCAGGGGTTCAATTCCTGTACCTACTTGCCGGCCCTGCCCCCAGGGCATGCTGAGACAGCAATTGATACTGGGTATGGTGGTGTACGCCTATAATCCCAGCTCTTGGGAGGCTGTTAACAGGCTCACTTAGATCACTATGAGTCCGATCTAGTAGTAAGACCCTGAACACCCAAAAAAAAAAAAAAAAAAATCGCAGAAAGACATGGTGGAGGATAGTTCTTAATGCTTAACATCCAGGAAATAGAGAGCAGAGGTAGCACCAGGGAAGAAAGAGAGCCAAGAACCAATCACAGTCCCCAAGGTCACACCACCGTGACCCACCCAGACACCCAGGAGTGTGTCTTATGAACCTTCTCCATGTCTCAAGCTCGTCGAATCATAATTGACCATCACACCAAGCAAGTGTTAATGTCATGCTCTTGAACCTCCAGAACTATAAGCTGATACAAACATTTGTTCAGCACCTGACCTCGGTCATGTGTTACAGCAATGAGATATGAATACAGACAAAACCCTACCTTGTGCTGGTGATGGCCATGATGGATTTGTTTTATTTCACTTTTTCATATGAAAATGTTCATGGTGGCCCACGCCTGTAATCCCAGCACTTGGGAGGCTGAGGCAAGAGAATCCTTTTGAGTTCGATACCAGCCTAGGCTACAAATTGAGCTCAAGGCCAGCCTGAATTGCATAATGAGATCCTGTCTCAAAAGGGGGGTGGGGAAGATAGCGCAGTAGAATAAGGGCCTGAGTTCAATCCCTGGTTCCAAAAAAAAAAAAGAAGAAGAAGAAGAAGAAAGAAGAAGGGGCCAGGAAGATGGCTCAGTGGAATAAGCACTTCTCTGGCAAGCACAAGGGTCTGAGTTCAATCAATCCCCAGTTCCGCCAAAAAAGAAAGAAAAAGAAATAATAGCCTAATGAGCCCCCAAAGTTAGCAATATTGTTCCTCCATCTCTTGACTCCCTTTCCAGTAAAGTTCTGTCTTGCCTATTCCTATTGTCTTTTAGTTTGCTCTTTATAGTTTGGTTTTTTCGGCAGAACCGGGGATTGAACTCAGGTCCTTGCACTTGCCAGGGACGTACTCATTCTACTGAGCATCTTCCCATCCCCTGCTCTTTATATTTTGTTTCTCATATAAGAGAAACTATGTGATAGGCCCGGGGAAATAACTCAGTAGAATAAGTGCTTGCCTGGCAAGCACAGGCAGGTCCTGAGTTCAATCCCCATTACCAGAAAAAAAAAAAAAAATGCAATACTTAAACTCACATGTCTGATTTATTTCACTTAACATTACAGTCTCA